GTGACATCTCTGATATCATCTTTTTATTTCTGTATCTGACAAATTCTTTTTATTTTATATCTATTTATATTTATTTTTTATTTTCAACATGTTTTGGTATCTTTTGTAGCCCTGAAGACGACCTGCAAAGTGGTTCGAAACGTCGGCAAAAATTAAATAATTACTATATTTTAATTTAGTTTCTAATTTACCGCACCCCCCGATTAACTCCTTCTCATAATAATTATTATTGAACTAGTAATTATATCTGTCTCATTTGATATAATAATACGTTATATAATGTAACGGTATACAGTTTACTGTTATAACAGCACTCAGTGTAACCTATTACCGAGACCACATTGCTCCTAACGAGCCGATGCTGACTTGTGGGATCGTCATTTCGTGGTCAGCAACTAAAGCTCTATCGGGCCGAGCCGTCTACAGCCATATAATTGGGTCCAATCGTCGCCATTAAAAGTTAAAAAGATATTATTACATACTTGGAAAAACAACTTAGGCTGTTATACTAGAATTAATTATTGCCGATGTAAGTTAAAAAAAAAAAAAACCTGTACAGTTGAATCCAACCCAGTTGAACGGCTTAGGTTCAGTACTATTTAGGGAAAATACTGTCTTCATGGTCAAAGGTTGTGCAAGGAAGTGATTTGAGTTGCCCATAGGAGAGGGTCTCCTGATCCAAGGTCGCTCCACGGTGGATGAAACAGAATACATATTTTTTCTGCCATTAGTCGGGATACGAACCTGGTACTTTGAGTTGGAAGCTCAGCGCCCTATCACTGAGCTGTTCCACTCCCATGTCCGCTAAAAGGTAATAAAAATATTTTATGGTGTTAAGCATATTTATTACTAATAAAATTAATACACTTGAAATGATTGAAGTGGAAACTCCGTAATAAACTTGTTTTATTACACTAGGCGATTTGTATTCAGGTCGTTTATTATTAATGAATAATATTACCGATCTGTGTATAACATAATTAGAGATCAACAAGTTGTGTTCTTGTATATTGTATCCGTCATATCTTTGCTTATGTTTTTAATAATACTGTATTTTTTATACATAAATATTCATTCATTCCTCTCTAAATCAATAAATCCAGGGGGGTCCAGTTTATTAACAACAGAAAGTTCCGGACGTCACCGATTTTAATGAAACTTTTTTGGGTTATACAAGGTTGAAGAATATATGACCCATGTCCAAGGGTTCTTGCTAATTTGCTCTAGAAGCTGAGTAAAATAAAAGTTATAAACATTTATTATTCTTTTTATTACTGTTTTCTTACTTTGTACTACATGTATTTTAATTGATTATATGTCAATTGATTTGTTTTGTTTATTTGTAAAAAATGTAAAACATATTACTGTACTGATAAAAATTGTGACAACTTCAAAAAGGCACGACCTATTCACACGAAAATAAGGATTAAGTTATAGACCTAAAAAATACACGAAAGAGCACAAACCAGACGCCCACAAATAAATTAGGCTTGAGATAAAAAATATAAACTTTTCAGTAGCGTTTCTTCCTTATAAAGGCCAAAGATCTGAAAGTTGTTGATATGGTTAGAAAAAACAATAATTTAGCTTTCAAAAGGTAATAATAAAGTTGACTTAGAAGAAAAATCTAGGGAGTTATTAATATTTCAATAAACCTTATGAAAAAAAAAATCCTCTCTAAAAATTAAGTCCAAAAATTTATAATTTTTTTTTAAAATAAGTTAGTATTTAAGAGTTTTAATGGATAGTAAAAACGAATTTGAATATTTTTTTTATTCAATTGACCTACCTTACTGGAAACGTCTTTGGGTTGTTGTAATTTGTTTTACGATTCGTTTAATACAATTAGCAATATGTTTATCTTATTTTAAACAAAAAACAAATTTATTAATATATAAGCACTTAAACAGACATGCCGTTCAAAGTCAGAAAACAGTAATATAAAAAAAATAATAAAATTTATAAAATACTTTATTTCTCGGCTCATTGGCAAGAACCCTCGGACATGGGTCGGATATTTTTCAACCTAGAAACGTTCAAAAAAGTTTCATTGAAATCGGTGAACTCACTTTCGCAACCTTTCCTTAATGATAATCCGTAACTTAATGAGTTATTCATTTTGTGGCATTGAAGATAGAAATTATTAAAATTCAAAAAGAACCATATTTATGGGGAAATAAAAAAAAAGACTCTATTAGTGAATTTTTAAATTCATTTATTCTTCTCTCAGTCTCCACTGGATACCAATCACAATGACGCGGCTGAGAGAGAAGTGCTGGGATTTCTCAGAGTCTTGGCTTATCCTCCTCACTTGGGTATGAATGTGTTTTTATTTAATGTTTAATGTGTTTTATTTCTTCTGTTTTACTAAGTTTTCTTGTTCTCTTCTTTTGTTACGAATGAGTCTCTTACATCTCAAATATTAATACCCTTAATTAAGGCAAAATGTATTTTTGCTAAATAAATAAATATTAAAAATTTAAAAAAATGCATTTATTATTATTTTATTTATTTGTGAATCTCATTCTAGATATGAGGTTCAGTTTCTTTTTCTGTTTTTGTTGATTTTTGAGAGACTTAAGATTTCTTTTTCTAAAACCCAATTATTTATTAATCATAATCCTATTCAATTAAGCTTTATCCAGTGCCTAGGAGACGAAAATTTTGTGTAAACATCCGAAAGTAAAGAATAAATTCTCACCGTTCCGCCTCACATCTTTTCACCAAAGAGACGTAAATAAAAACTTGAGAATCTCGGAATGGTAAGAATAAACCGTGGGGCCAGGAGGTTCTCGGAAGCGAACAGGAATTGGATTCGGGGGCAGGAGTAAAAGTACGATTCGTTCTCCAGTCCCTGATTGTCGTTGGTGAAGAACATTGACCGAATTCTCTCGGACTTTATTGGTAACAAAGTTTTTATCTGGCGATGTGTTTTCCTTCACCACAACGAATCTGTCTCGGACAATAAATCGGAAAGTTTCGTTCAATATCTCGTATTTTGATTTCATAGAAGGACATTTTAATAATTTTCAATTCGCATCATCATAATTTCACACCACCAGGTTCCATTCATTGGTATAAATCAGTACAACACCTCTGTTCAAATTCGAACAAATTCTCAACTTTTTACACAAAAAATATTTAAATAAACTATACTGGAGTATTTATAAAGGTTTTTACAATTGTATTTAAAAAAAGTTTTATTTTAGGAGAAAGAGGTTCCACAAAAAAAAAATAATAATAAATTATATACTTTTATAATTAAATAAAAATTATATAATTAAAAATAATTAATTTTTATTTATTTATTCATGATATTTACAACTGTATTAAAATAAAAATACATCTAGTAAATCTGAACGCAAGAATAAATTACAAGAAAAACAGCTATAGAGAAGCTACATACTAGTCGCACTCTAATAATATATCTACCTTAGGGGATATCACGAGACCATCTTCTTTTCAGACGCCTCGGAGAGTTATCAGGGATTGAAGAGTGAGTAAGGTTAGAAACGAGAGGGTTCGGATGGTTCTGAAATTTGTTATGAAAGAATTGGTATCTGGATTGGGCCAAATCGGAAACATATGCATACATTATGGTCGTTATGGATGATTTAGTTTGTGACAAAGTAACTAGCATTGAGGATTTATAAAGGATTTTGGATTGTAAGGATTGGATATGAGAGGAATTTGATGGTTTAGTAGATTCTCAAAGCTCAATTACAAATATTGATTACGATTTGAGAGGTGTCCGACACCTTGAACTCAAAAGAGAGCTTAAGATGGAGAAGGAATAAAATATGGAGGAAAAGATATGGTTTCGTGAAAAGTGAAATGAATAATCTTGATAATGATGTTTAAGACTAAATGGATAGAAACATATAGGGGGCGAGGTGGTCGAATGGGCTAAAGCGTGTGCAAAACACCGCGAGTTGCCCGGCAATCGGATATATGAAGTTTCGAGAGATTAAAAAAAAGTACGAGTTCAAGTACCGGTGCTGGAGGAGATTTTAAATTCCCCGCCTTACCCCCCGGGGCGAGGTAGGGAAGAACAAATAAAAAAAAAAGTATAGAAATATATACTTACTTAAAACCATATTGATATACGGCTTACAGGACTACAGTTCAGATAAAAATACTTACAAAACTTACAATCTTTTTAATACAACATTTTAGGACTAATAGCAGCCGCTCCCTGGTACGAAACAAATAACCATCAAATTATACATACGTGCCCTTTATTCTTGTTTTCATGATAAACCTGGAAAATGAAATGGCAGCGTTTGACATGCCCATTGACTGACTAAGAAGGAGCTGGATGAGAGACATAATTTCGTGACTCAAGGAAGTCAAAACCAGGAAACAATTCTGATAGGCATCTTTCCTTATACCTGAAGTGCCCTAAACATCACACTTTAACAAATTTCCTTATTGTCACTGTCATTTGTGTCTGCTGTGAATAGTAAATTAATTCTTTTACTGCGTTTTGAGTTTAACACTGTATAAAGAAGTACTGTTGCGTCTTGGTCAACAGTTGTGAAATGAGGTGAATTGACCGAGAACAATCTGTCAGGTTACCCTCCTTAATTAATTTAATAAGAGAGTACCCACTTAATAGAGGCTGGGTGTGCCCCAGGAAGGTCTCTGATCCAGATTCAAACCCGGGACCTTGAACTTTGGAAGTCAGTTCCTTACTACTAAGCTACCTCACTTCTTTTTTTTTTTATTTAAACGTACATTAATTTGTTGCTGAATTGACCCGATTCTTTATGATACCTATCATTTCATGGTAACTCCGAATCCACTTGTTTTTCAACTTACTCCCTCCCAGACTCTGACAATACTCTTAGGCATCAAAAAATAATATGGCTACATTATCTCCGAACCATTTAGGGGATGTTACCATTGGGTACTAACCTTTTATGAACACGTTTTTACTCTCCTATAACCAATCATGTATCCGTTATTGATGAATCGCTGACATGCGCTTACTGTTGCAGGTACATGGCGATCATGCACCCCCTGAGACCCCGGATGGGAAGGAGGATGACGCTCTGCATCGCCGCTGGGATCTGGGTCATCGGTTCGGCCTTCTCCCTCCCGATGCTCATCTTCTTCACGACGTACACCCAGGACTTCACCAACGGCGACCAGAGGGTCATCTGCTATGCCGAGTGGCCCGATGGCTCCACGACAGAGAGCTACCAAGAGTATCTGTAAGTTACATCATCACCATGTTCTCATAAACAAACAATGATAGTATAAGGCAGCTAGTTATCTATTGCTTATGTATATTAGAGATAATGTTATATTATCTCTGTTTTATTCCTTCTCCAGATTTTTCCATCCTGATTCTATTAAACTTTAGTTTAATTATTCATAATATTTATGAGTAATATATCTGTTATCCATTATTTACGCTTCCGGTACTTTAGTTCTACTTCGTCAGACAACCGTGAGAGATGGCACCACAATACATTTCCTCTCTCCCCCCTCCCTTGCTACCATATTCTCACTTCTCCAACAACCTTTTTGGAGGCAGGTTTTTTTTCTCCTTCCTTTCACTCCTTTTCTCTGTTTTAACTCTTTATTACATTATACGTTGTCTGTACATTTCGATAGACTTTAAAATATCTTAATTTTACTATTTATTTTCATTTCTTATATAACTTCATATTCCTTTTTTCTGTTTTACATTTTATTCTGTTTCCCATTTTAATACTTATGTCACCTTTTTTGATTATGTTTACTTCGTCATTCCACACTTTGTAACGGTTATTATTATTTATCTCTTAGTTCTTACTATTGTCATTATTCTACCAGCTTCATCTGGTTCTTTTCTTAGCCCTGATGAAGGCCTGAACATCAGGTCGAAACTTCGGCAAATAAATAATATCATTTATTTTTGCCTTCTTATTTGACTGACCACTCCCAAAAATTTTTTATTTATTTATTTATATGATATTTACAACTGTATACAAAAAAATACATCTGGTAAATTCGCACATGGATATAATGACATGAAACACATGTTGAGAAACTACCCATTGGTAGCACTCTAATAATATGTCTATATTAGAAGATCACGTGGCCATCTTATTTCAGACGCCTCGGAGGGTTATCAGGAATTGAATAGGAAGCAAGGTTAGAAACAAGAGGGTTGGGATGGTTATGAAGTTTATTATGGAAGGACAGTCCCAAAAAATAAATAACTATCCACGAACGATAACATTAAAATTTAAGAAAGAGTTGTAATGATAAAGTTCGGAATGAATTCAAAATTAACAATGGAAGACAGTATAGTCCGTAGTACAGACCCATTTTTATCAATATGTTAACATCTGCCTAAAACTTCGTAAATGGCTTCATTTTATCGTAACCTACAACATTTTTATGTACGAAAATACTCATAAATACTCATCTGTTTTCCATTTGAATAGTAAGACAATTCGATCATAAAAAAAAAGGTGACCTACAAAAATATTGTGCCGTTTTTTTAAGCAACCAGCTTTTCCATAAAATTAGCAGTTGAAAGAGGAAATACTCCTCTACTTTCAAACCTTAGTCTCCGAGCTCAAAAAAACTCTCTTACCAAATTCCTTTATGTATATTTTTCTATGGAGTACTACCAGTGTGTAGTTTATCTTCATGATGTATTGTGTCATATTAACAATTCAAATTTACTAGTTCTATTCTTTATCTACTACAATTGTGCATTTCAATAAGAACAATTTGTTTTTAATTCTTTATGTATGTCCTCTTATTTTTTTTTTTTTTATGACCTTGATCCTCATCTTTCGTTTCAAATTGTAGGATCAACAATCTGAGAATCCTTTTCTATCGCACTAAAGGCAAAGATATCTACGAATCTCTCTGAGCCTTCCTTATCCATGCAATAAACTTCTATGAAATATCTAAACTTCTTCGTCTCAAGGAATTCGCACATTCGATGCTTTATATTATGTGCCGGCTGGTGACAAGGGGCAAGTTCTTCTGACATGTGTCCAATATATTGCTCTAATGCATGTGCGTGTATACACACACACCAATATTTATACGCGTAGGAGTATCTCTCTTTAAAGATGTAATTTCAGTTTCTGAAGGAAACCAATTTTTATATACTTTTTTAATACATTTTAACATATACACGGTACTTCTAATATATATAGTGTAATTCCTCCTTTTAGAAATAAATAAATAGGATATATGTTTTAAGATTCAACAAAAGGGAGAAAAAACAAGGGACAAAGCAACTATTATACTTAATGATTAAGAGAAGTGTAATGTAAATATTATTCAAGTGTAAAGCAAATTGCATGCGTTTTTAGTACCTAATTAAATAGACAAAGTTTGTCTCCCTTAATATTGAAAACGCCCCAATGAGTTTTCGTAAATAAAATGTTGAAGGTTACGATGAGATGAAGCTATTTACGAAGTATCAGAAGGATGTTATTAATTTGAAAAAAAAGGGTTCAGTACCACGAACTATTTCTACTTGAATCGTAAGATAATAGGATACAAAACCTCTGTTTAAATCTGTACAGATCTCAAACTTTTCACACAAAACATACTTAATGTATGTTTATATGCAAGAAACTATTATTCCCCTTTTTATCAAAATATTAACCCTTGTTTAAAACTTCGTGAATAGCTTCCTCTCACCGTAATCTACAACTTAGCTATTTACGAAAATTCTCGAAATTTGGCGTTTTCAATATGGAGATTGAAAAAACTTGGTCTATTTAATTAGATACACTAAAACTTCATGGTCACCCATTTGCTTTTTTGGATCGTAATAGATAATTTGATTACTAAATTGATAAACATTTTGGACCGTTTAGCGTCACCTCTACCAACTCCTCCACTCATATTATCAACTAGAAAGCAAATGAGTATTTATGCGTTTCCTCGCTAAATTAATTAATTCATGAGAAACTGTCCCATTTCTTAGTACCTAATTAAATAGGCAAAGTTTGACGATCTTCAAATCCGAGAATTTTCATAAACAAAATATTTGTAGGTTACGATGAGATGAAGCCATTTACGAAGTTAGAGACGGATATTAATAATTTGGTAAAAAGTGGGCTGTACGACTGACTAATATATTTTATATTAAAGTTAGACTTGGTAACCGGACCATCAATATCAAACTGATGATGTAATATCACGTTATCAAACTTATTTTTTCTTTTATTAATGACTTGCTGTTACACGAGTATATTCAAATTGATCTTGCATATAAATTCATAGGTCCAATTACGATGTCTTGTTAGGTTCTGAAACTCGTGAATATGTCCCTCTTCCTTTGATCTATGAACTTAGTTCTGTGAAAACAAAGTTATTTTCTAAAATCAACTTGAGAAGTGACAATTTCTCTTTGTCGCAATTTCCTCATCATTAAGTGTAATAGTTGCTTTTTCCCTTGTTATTCCACCTTGGTGTTGAATCTTTAAACAAACATCATATTTCCTTTTTTTCTAGAGAGAGGAATTACATTGTACATTGTTTCCAGTAAGTAGAGGGAAATATTTAAAAGGTAGATAGTAGACATCAAGATATACAAAAAAAAATCATATAAACATTTACCTAATTTCAAGCAGAAAAGTAGGAAATTTAAGATCTCTGTTGTTTTTTTTAATTTTTTTTTAAGCAAGTCAAGTTTTTTTTGTTGAATAGGAAACGATAACAACATATTTTATTTAAGTAATTAAATATTGCTCCATAATAAACTAGATAAAATTTACTTCAAAAGTAATTAGATTTCGTCATTGTTAAGACTATTTAAAGTGGACTTTTGTGTGAACAAACACATTTCCGTTTAAAAAAAAAAAGTCATAAATTATCTGTGATTTTTTTTATAATCCTTCAACTCTACTACAGTTACTCCACTTTTAGAAAAACTTTCTCATTTAATTACCCTTAAGTCCATATTAATTTAAATTCATCTCAAGTCGTGTAAAGAAATGATGTAATTTTCTATCCAGTAACCTAAATGTACCCATGTTTTCAGCAAAAACGACTACAATTAATAGTTGCAAAGATTTTACTTCTTGTTTCTCCGTGATATGGGATGTATTGTAATAAAAATAATTGCCTAAAAATACATTTTATTTATAAAAATACAGGAATAAAACAGATCAATGCAAACCATTTTTTTGTGGAGAGTGAATTAGATTGATCTGTCAGTTTTCGTTCGGCTTTAACGCTCGGGTTAAGTCTGCTAGAGTCGACTAATTAAATTTTTTTTACATGTGGATTAAAATATCTCAAAAACCATAAACCGAGCCTACATACTGTAAGTGAGGAAATTGTTCAGCATTTCATCGTCTCTGTTAAAGGCTATAATTCAAAATTGTATCTTAACGCGACAAGGAGAGGCGAAAAGGAAAAAATAGTATCGAAAACCAAATGATAAGGTTAGTTGAACATATTGATTAAAATATTCTAGATACTAAAAATCTGATCTGTACACTGTAAGTGATGGAAATGTTATAACTTATATTTCATATTATTAATCTTGCTTTGTTGATGTTTTTTCTATGACCTAGGATGTAATATAATAAATATAAATTTATAAATATACATTTTACTTATTGAAAATAAAGATAAAATAATGATTTTTTAAATATTTTATCATCAAACGTGAAAACGAAACTGTGTTTTTTTACAGCTAGATCTCTATTATAGTCATTGAAATATATTAATAAGTGACGAACTAAATGTTCCTAATACTAATATTTATTTTATTTAATTTTATAAATAAAATGTGTATTTGTAAATTTATATTTATTATAATAAAATAATAATGGGAAAATAAATAAATTATAAATATATATTTATAAATTATAACTCATACCTAAGCTTTCTAATGATTTATTTTAATCATTTTTTGCTGAAAAGACGATTATTTAATGATTACAGGTTATTGAACCACATCACACGCATATATAACGTAAAATATATAAAATTACACTAAATAATATTTATTCCTTATGTATTTAGTTCTTTCGTCTAGCTACCTCAGCTGTTATAAAAATGACATTAATGTTTTATACTAGTAATAACTTAGTTCAATAGTACTGTACAAAATAACGGAACTGTAAAGATATAGTAAAGCCACGTCCTAGTCAATTTTAATTTCGAAATAGCATATTTAATGACAAAGAAGCTAGGAATTGTGACGAGCAAAAGGGGGAGGCCCCCCTTTTCCAATTCT